TGTGAAGATTGAAGCTGCAAACATGAACATGATGATTAGTGATGTGTTCTATGTTCCTGGACTTAAGACAAATCTGTTGAGCATTGGTCAACTGCAAGAGAAAGGCCTGGCTTTCTTATTTAAGGATGCTAGTTGCAAGATCTTCCATGAAGAAAAGGGTCTACTACTGCACACTGAAATGAAATCAAATAGGATGTTTGTCATACATCCTGAAGACAAACCAAAGAGCTAGGAAGTTCAGTGTTTTCAAATTTCTAACAGTAAAGAGAAAGAACTGAAATTATGGCATAGGCGATTTGGTCATCTGAATTCAGTGAGTCTCAAGCAACTACAGCTGAAAGGTTTTGTCAAGGACTTGCTTGCACTGAAAGGAGATCTGGAGGTTTGTGCTACTTGTCTCATTGGCAAGCAACACCGGAAACCATTTCCCAAGAAGAGTCCTTGGAGAGCAAGTCAGAGGTTGGAATTGATCCATTCTGATCTTTGTGGACCTCTTACACCCGTCTCAAATGGTGGGAAAAGGTATATCCTCACCTTGACTGATGACTTTAGCAGAAAGTTGTGGGTTTACTTTCTTGTTGCTAAGTCAGAAACCCTTGAGTATTTTAAGAAGTACAAAGCACAGGTTGAACAAGAAACTGGTTCACAGATCAAGTGTTTGAGAACTGACAGAGGAGGAGAGTTCATGCTTAATGAATTCAAAGAGTTATGTGATGAAGCTGGAATTAAAAGACAACTGACAGCAGCTTTAACACCCCAACAAAATGGAGTGGCTGAAAGGAAAAATAGAACAGTTCTGAATATGATGAGATGTATGCTATCAGATATGAAGGTACCTGCTGTGTTTTGGGCAGAAGCAGTTGCTTGGACAACACATGTTTTGAACAGGAGCTCAACAGCAGCAAACCAAGGTAAAACACCTCAAGAATTGTGGGCTGGAAGTCCTCCCTCTGTGTCCCACTTTCGTGTATTTGGTTGTGTTGCATATATGCATGTGCCTGACCAGCCGAGAAAGAAGTTAGATGATAAGAGCATTGCTTGTCAATTCATTGGCATCTCAGCTGAATCAAAGGCCTACAAGCTCTACAGTCCTAACACCATAAGGTTGTGATTAGCAGAGATGTAGTTTTTGATGAAACTAAAGGTTGGAGATGGGATTCTGAGATGCGGCCTGTTCAGACACAAGTATTTTGGGAAGAAGGTGATCGAGACTGGTTTGATTCAGACACAGAAGATGATGCTGCAAGTTTGACTATTCCAGTTGTTCCTGCAAATCAAGAATCACCACAACTCACTACTCCAGCAACACCAGAAGGATCAGGAGGAGGTTCCACAAGTGCTGACATCATTAATGAGGATGAATTGGACATGGGAACAGATGTTTTGGGACTCCCAAGTGCCAACTTAGGGAAAAGGGTCAGCAAGTTGCCTAGTCATTTCCAGAACTATGACATGAGTTTCACTGCCACTGACTGGGTAGCAATGGTAGCAGTAACTGATGATCCTCAAACCTTTGAGGAAGCAATGTTGGATCCCAAGTGGAATGCAGCAATGCAGGAAGAAATGCACTCCGTTAAAAGGAACAATACCTGGACTTTGACTGAACTTCCAGCAGGTTTTGAAGCTATTGGGTTGAAATGGGTATACAAGACAAAGTTGCAGGAGGATGGAAACATAGACAAGTTCAAGGCCAGAATCGTGGCCAAGGGGTATTCTCAGAAGGAAGGAATTGATTACACAGAAGTGTTTGCTCCAGGAGCTCGTTGGGACACCATTAGAACATTCTTGGCCTTAGCAGCTCATCGTGGTCTTTCAATCTATCAACTAGATGTCAAAAGTGCATTTCTCAATGGGGAGCTCACTGAAGAAGTTTATGTGGAGAAACCACCAGGGTTTGTGGTTGCTGGGGAGGAAAGGAAGGTCTACAGGATTCACCAGGCTCTCTATGGCCTGAAACAGGCTCCTAGGGCCTGGTACAATAGGATAGAATCCTATTTCATCAAGTCTGGCTTTGAGAGGAGTCCCTATGAGCATACACTGTTTATTAAGAAGGCTGGAAATGGTATTCTAATCCTAAGCTTGTATGTGGATGACTTGATGTATGCAAGCAACAACTCTGAGATGATTGCTGACTTCAAACAGGCAATGCAATCAGAATTTGAGATTGCAGATCTTGGGAGGATGCACTATTTTCTGGGAGTTGAAGTCATTCAGAGGGAATCAGGAGTATTCATCAGTCAGCAGAAGTATGTTAGGGAGGTGCTGGACAAATTCAATCTCCTAGACTGCAATTATGTGCATAATCCCATGAGTCCTGACAGCAAAATGAACAAGGCTGGGTTTGCCACACAGACAAAATTACTCTATTTTAAATCTCAAGGGTTGAACCATTATTGTGGTCCGATAACAATTTTATTGTGTAAGATGAAAATATTTCATCGCACATGTTGTAAAAATTCTTTTATTCTTCATCGCAAAATTATTTTCTTGCCTCTTCACAAGATTAGAGAATATCACACTCACTTATCATACATTCAATTAATCAATTCAATATAATTGTAAATCCAACTACTTACTTTGAAATCATATACAAGCCCATGAAGACTAAAGAGATTAAAAAGTTGATTATGGTCCTATTCGCATCCATTTCAAGTTAATACATGATTCCTTTTCGACCACAAAAGACATTCACCTTGATTTAAAATTATTACTTTTCACTGTTAATTAGTCGATTTATTTTTGAGAACCCGCCGCAGAGCGCGGGCCAATTTTCTAGTTAATAATAATTTTGATACAATAAGTTGAGTTTTCTCTCGGTAACCTTTTGTAGCATGTGTGATATTGGTCGACGAGTAGTCATCTATATTAATTAAAGTGTACAAACATGGGTGATGATGTCACGGCATGGGACCTTGGAGCATGTTCGATGGGGTTACTGATTTGCATTTTAACCCTTAGCAAATGGGTATCATGCTTGCTTCTCAAACCAACTTGTGATTGATTCTCTGATTGTTTTGTAGGGACATCTATGGCTAATGAGTATACAGCTAGCATCGGTGAACCGTGTCACGTGGGATGGAGCTCTATTCGATATATCGCCGTTCCTCTTCTGAGAATCTAATGTTGTGCTTTTATGAATAGGTAACTTAACATTTCTGGTTTTGATTGCGGTAGTGCTTACTCTAAGCACATAATTAAGATCTATATGTTCAAACCATGGTGGTGATGATGATGATATGAAGAACCAACTTGAGGTTGATCTGCCCTGATACTAAATGAAAATTTCGTATAGCTTCTCTTACATATATATATAGTATAATCCATTCACCATTTGTGGGTTTAATTTTTTTTCTGTATCTTGCCATTTTTAATTTTCTGTTGGTGTAATGTGTTTGCAAAACTGGGATCTGAAATAGTATAATCCATTTACACAGATTGAGGCCCATGTTGGAAGTGTTAATGACCTTTTCTCATATCCCAACTGGCAAACTGTATGTACTTACTCGAGCGGAAAACAGAGCGATTAAGGCAGACCACTTTTGAAGGTCCTGAAGCTCCAGTATGTTCTTTGTGGCCACACATCACACAGAAAATATCCGGGGAGTTCCAGGCCTCTTCCTTTTCCTTACTCATTTCTTCCTTTTTTCCCAGTTTATACTCTCAACAGCAGCTGATGGAAAGATTAAAGCATGGAGCAATGGGTTCGAAAGTTGATAATGATGCTCCAGAGCATTCATATGCCAACAATGGCTGATGGAACAAGGTACCCTTCACTCTCCTACATCATTTTGTTAGCCGAGTCTTCGAGTCATGCTAGTAGAGCTGCGTTGTGATACACTATTTGTGGTTTAGCCTGTTGAAGTCCTGTTACTGTTACAACTTACAACACTGGAATTGTATGGCACTCTGTTTACTGTCAATCTGTCATTATTTCCCAGAACATTATGTTAGGAGGTCCTCAATCATAGGATCTTCAAACTTGTATTGTAGGTTTAATTAATTATTTGCATGATATATGATGACTTTTAACTAAGTTGGTTGATTATTACCCGAACTAGTTAATGGTCAATATTTCCGTATGTATATTGTTAGTCAACAATTGAGAATGATCTATATATAGGAAAATAAAAAATTAACTGAAGAGCTAATAGATAAATTTTTATCTTCAACCATGCTAGAAAGATAATTACTTTTCGAATAATGATGCATCGGTTGATTCGGTCCAGAACCATATCGAATTGAGATAGAACCGGATAAAAAACAAAGGAAAAATGAGGACCAGAACCTGACTAAAAGCATGTTTGATTCATTTGGTTCGTTTTTTTTTTTCTTCTTACTTAAAATAATCTATATGATCAAAACCAAATCAAAATATATTTGATCCTATCTGATCCGGTCCAAATATCGAGTTGGTCGTGTGTAAACCATATTGTTGCCCTATACATACAAAATTTCGAACCACATGAATTCTGAAACACTCATGCATGGTTGGTTGAGTCTTACGTGCCCCTTTGACTTCTGCACAAGAACGTCATATCCATTATATATTGAATGTTCACGTAGCTCTCTCTCCTGAGTTGTATTTCACCAAGAATGGAAAGAAAGAAAGAAAGAAAGAAACAGAGCGGTCAAGGTAAAATAGTCTTGGCTAAAGGAAAGTCCACCACTGCATTTCCGCGTGGACTGAGTAATTGAAGGGATATCATATCATACATATACCTGCCGCCTTGCTCTGTTACCGACAGTTCTCTCCATTGGCTATAGCTTAGTTGAAATCGCCTTTCCCGCAGTGCACGCCAGGCCCAAATTTCTGGTCGTAATATGGTGCTTGCGAATTGCGATATAGTATATGGTGTCAGCACAGTGTCTCTGTATACTATATTTTAATCCATTCCCTAACTAGCTTAGTATTAATACTTGAACCTTGACGCTCTCTGCTTACAAGAAGCTAAGTAACTAACTGGATTTCAGGGAAAGGAAAAAGATCGGGGAAAGGAGCAATGGGTTCTTCAGGAGGAACTATTAAGATGAGTGTGTTTGGCGCCATAATGGCGCTTCTTCAGTTCGTCAACCCTGCTGTTGCTAGTGAAGATTACTACACTGGCAACGAGACGGATAGGCTGGCGTTGCTGGAGTTCAAGGTCGCCATCTCGAGCGACCCTTTCGGTTCGTTCAGCTCGTGGAACGACTCCTCCGCCCACTTCTGCAAGTGGCAGGGCGTGACATGTTCCACGAGACATCGCGGAGACAGGGTCGCGGTTCTGGACCTGCGTTCCCTGAAGCTGTCAGGCTCCATCTCGCCTCACGTCGGGAACCTCAGCTTCCTGACGAAGCTTCTCCTCAACGACAACGGATTCACCGGCTTAATCCCTCCCGAGATCGGCAGCCTTGGCAGGCTGCAACATTTGTACCTTTCCAACAACTCGCTCACGGGGGGAGTTCCTGAAGCTCTAGGCCGCGGATTGAAGAACCTTCAGGTTCTGGATCTGTATCTCAACGACTTGTCTGGCGAAATCCCGGCTCCCATTTTCAATCTGTCTCTCCTCAGGTGCCTGTCCTTCAGTTGGAACCATTTCCACGGCGCTCTTCCTTGGAACCTCGGGATATTGCTTCCGAAACTTCAGAACTTCGCTGTGTATGCCAACGAGTTTACTGGAAGCGTTCCGGCTTCCTTATCGAATGCCTCCAACTTGGTTGCACTTCAACTGGGTTACAACCGCTTCACTGGGAGGGTGCCTAGCATGGCGAGTTCTCGCAACCTTCGTTACCTTATGATCGATCATAACTCGCTTGGAAGTGGAGATGATGATGATGATGATGATCTGGGCTTCCTCTCTTCTCTGACGATTGCTTCACGTTTGGATATTCTGGACATGAGCCACAACAACTTTGGAGGCACTTTTCCTGAGCAGGTTGCGAACCTGTCCACCAGGCTGAGAACTCTGGACATGGGAAGTAACAGGATCTCAGGAAAAATTCCGAGTGGGATGCGAAACCTCATCCGCCTGCAGCTATTCGATGCATCGAGCAACAATCTGTCAGGTAAGATCCCATGGAGCATTGGCAACTTGCAGAGTCTAGAGAGTTTGGATTTGAGTTATAATAAAATCTCAGGTTCTGTTCCGTTATCGATTGGGAACCTGAGCAGATTGGTTCTGTTCAGTTTGGGTGGTAACAGGCACCTGGATGGGGAGATTCCTGTCTCTATTGGGAACTGTTCGAAACTGATCTTCTTGGATCTGTCCGACAACAATCTCCGTGGCATCATTCCCCTAGAAGTCATGAGCCTTACTTCGTTGTCGCGAGTGTTGAATCTGTCTCGAAATGGACTCACCGGTGTAATACCTGCAGAGGTGAGGAACCTGAAGAACTTGGGTTCCTTGGATCTGTCTCATAATTTGTTGTCAGGAGAGATCCCACATAGTATGGGAAGTTGTCTTGGGATAGAGGTTGTGAACCTGCGAGAGAATCTCCTCCAGGGATCGATTCCCGATTGTTTGGGAGTGTTGAGAGGGATTCAACGATTTGATGTCTCAGTTAATAACTTAACTGGTGAGATTCCTGACGTTTTTCAGGACATGAAATTTCTGCAGTTGCTGAATATTTCGTACAACGATTTAGAAGGTGAAGTGCCGCGAAGAGGAGTCTTGAAGAATGGCAGCATCATATTGGTTGCAGGAAATAGCAGGCTCTGTGGCGGTGTGCCTGAACTTGAACTCCCGCCTTGTAACTTCAAAGGGCTAAAGAAGGCAATATTGAGCAAGAAGTGGAAGATTGTTATTGCATCAACAATCTCCAGTATGCTCTTTTTAACTTTGATTGTTATTTTTTGGATTAGAAAAAGAGGAAAACAAGGTTCAGTTGCTGATGATGATTCAAAACTGCAGCTCTCTTACCAAAGACTCCTGAAAGCTACAAATGGTTTCTCAACAACAAATTTGCTTGGCACGGGAAGTTATGGTTCTGTGTACAGAGGAGTTCTCACTGAGAATGGGACTACGATTGCTGTCAAGGTATTCAACCTCGATCACCGTGGTGCTTTTAAGAGTTTCTTGGCTGAATGTGAAGCCTTGAAGAACATCAGACATAGAAATCTGGTGAAGATATTGACGGTGTGTTCAGGGGTTGATCGTCAGGGGAATGACTTCAAGGCTCTCGTCTATGAGTTGCTTGCTAATGGAAGTTTGGAAGAATGGTTGCATCCGGTGGAAAGGGCTGACGAGCCTCCGAAGAGCTTGAGCTTGAGCTTTCGCCAACGAATGAATGTCGCCATTAACGTAGCTTCTGCACTAGATTATCTCCATCACCAATGTGAGACGCCCATTGTTCATTGTGATCTCAAACCCAACAACATTCTTCTTGATGAGGATAAGGTAGGTCATGTCGGCGATTTTGGATTGGCGAGGTTTCTTCGATCATCAGACGACAATCCTTGTACCACAAGTCTAACATCAAGCACAATTGGCATAAAGGGAACAATTGGCTATGCTCCTCCAGGTAATTAGTACTCCACTTGGGATGAAATGATGCATTATAAATTATTTCAAGTACTATATGATGGTATTCATTTTTCAACACATGAATAAAATTTTGTATTAGGTAACACGTGAAAACCATATGCTTGAATTTTAGATCAAACCATTTAAAGTATTGTGATATTGTACTTATCTAAACTATACTACATCTTGAATATGTCCTTTTCCTATTTCAATGTTTCTGATCATATGCTCTTTTTTTTCTGGGTCGTAGAATACGGTATGGGAAATGAAGTCTCGACGCAAGGTGATGTGTACAGTTTTGGGATCCTCCTACTTGAGATGCTAACTGGAAGGAGGCCTACGAATGAAATTTTCGAAGAAGGTTTAAACCTTCGAACCTTCGTTCAAAGTGCTCTATCTCAGATACCGTTCCCGACAGAGGCTCTGGATCCCATTCTACTCAATGAACTACGTCTTCGCCAGATATCGAAGGAGATTGTGATCGCGGTTCTCAAAATAAGCGTTGCTTGCGCTTCGGAAAGCCCGCAAGAGAGACCAAGTATAAGTCAAGTTTTGGCAAGGCTAAAGAATCCACATTTCCCCAACCACATTTGAAGGCTCTGTTGAAATTGCTTTATCCCAACCACATTTCCCCATTGAAGTTCTGGATTCGATTTTACTCAACGAATTACGTCTTCATTAAATATCAAAAGAGAATTGTAATATCCGTTGTCAAAACAGGTGTTGCTTGTTCTTCTGGCTCCCCACATGAGAGACCAAGTAATAAGTATTCAGTCAAGTTTTAGCAAGGCTAAAGAATCCAATTGGTGCATAACCATAGGTAAGCGTAAGTATACTAAAGAATAATCTAGCCACTGCCCACTAGGTGTCACTGTCACGCAAGGTTGTCAAACCGGTTTGTGTCAGTGTGCCGGTTTAGCAAGTGGAATGGTTCGACCGGTGGTACATACCGGTTTGTGCCGGTTCATGCCGGTTAATATTACAAATAATTTACAAATACTTATATTTAAGCACGACATTTAACGTCAATACCTAAATATTTGTACTTGAATCCAACAAATAACATCAACATTTAACTTTTTAACACATAAAATAAATAATAAATTACTTTTTATCAAATAAATTCACTAATATAAGATCATTTTACTTAGAGATTCGTATATCGATCATGCCGGTCATACCAGTGGTGTCATACCGGTTTTATGACCGATACAGGTTGAACCAAATTCAACCAGTAGCACGCCGGCCGGCGTGACAATCGACGAGTGTCACGTGAATAATTTGACAGGACGACGGATTAGGCCGAGTTGGCTTGGGGACGTAGGGCTAATGGATCAGACCGAGCTGGAGTGTTGGGCTGGGCTGGACGTAAATAACCCATGTTTCTATCAATCTATCACCCCAAACCAACGAGACTAATAAACGGGCATGGATTGGGAGATCCATGCAAACTTCATACTGACGTCACTAACATGCATGGGACACGTAGCTCTCTCTAATTTCTGCCTTCTTTCTATTTGGAAAGGAGAAACCCATGCCTACTTTTGTAAATTTACTGCACTCTGCCTCCATCGTGCCAAAATTTATCAATGGCTGCCGAGGATTAATTGATTTCAATAAGTCAAGTTATTGGAACCAAAGAATGAAGCATGTTGAGATTCCCCTGGCTAGAGAGAGAAAAAATTTCAAAGATGGCTAGGTAAATGAGAATTTGAATACTTAATCTACTGGGTCCACAACCAATTATCTTTTCAACGACGATTAAATTCATTAAGCAAGATTTGAGCGGATTTATTCCGGGTCAATTTTTGACAAATTTCAAAGGGGTACCATCACAAATTTAGGGCGATTTTTTCGAAATGTCATTTTCTTTCGATTCTGGAGGCTACAGATCACAGAATCGGGCCGAGGTTATTCTCCACCGATAATGAAGTCTACTGATCCTATTCTCCACGGATGATAAGTCCATTAAGCACCGATTTGGGTTAATTTATTTTCGGATGACATTTTCGTAATTTTTTGGGCGAGGAAAGGCCATTTTCTTTGGATTTTGAAGGCTACATCACAGATTCGGCCTGAGACTATTCTTCAGCGATGATCAAGTCCATTAAGCACCGATTTAGGCGAATTTATTCCAAGTCAATTTTTGGCAGATTCCAAATGGGTACCGTCACAGATTTCGAGCGATTTTTCCAAATGCCATTTTCTTTCGATTCTGGAAGCTATAGATCACGAAATCAGACCGAGGCTATTCTCCATCGATAATGAAGTCTATGGATTCTATTCTCCACGAATGATAATTCCATTATCGGTGGAGAATAGCCTCGACCTGATTCCGTGATTTGTAGCCTCGAAAATCGAAAGAAAATGGTTAAGTCCATTAAGCACCGATTTGGGTGGATTTATTATGGGTTAATTTTTAGAAAATTCCAAACAGGTACCATCACAGATTTCGTGGGATTTTTCCGAAATGACATTTTCATTCGATTCTGGAGGCTATAGATAACGGAATCAGGCCGAGGCTATTCTCCACCGATAATGAAGTCTATTGATCATATTCTCCACGGATGATAAGTCCATTAAGCATAGATTTGGCCAATTTATTTCCGGATGGCACTTTCGTAATTTTTTGGGCGAGGAAGCGCCATTTTCTTTGGATTTTGAAGGCTACAGATCACGGATTCAGCCTGAGATTATTCTTCAACGATGATTATGTCCATTAAACACCAATATAGCCGGATTCCAAAGGGCTACCATCACAGATGTTAGACGATTTTTCCGAAATGCCATTCTTTTTCGATTCCGAAGGCTACAGATCACGGAATCAGGCCGAGGCAATTTTCCATCGATAATGAAGTCTATTGATCCTATTCTCCATGGATGATAACTCCATTAAGCACCGATTTGAGCCAAATGGCATTTTCGTAATTTTTTGGGCGAGGAAAGGTCATTTTCTTTGGATTTTGAAGGCTACAGATAACTGTTTCGGCCTGAGGCTATTCTTCAATGATGATTATATCTATTAAGCACCGATTTAGGCTGATTTATTCCGGACCAATTTTTGGCAGATTACAAATGCAATCACAGATTTCAGGTGACTTTTCAGAAATGCCATTTTCTTTCGATTGTCGAGGTTACAAATAACGGAATCACGCCGAGACTATTCTCCACCGATAATGAAGTCTATTGATTCTATTCTCCACGGATGATAAGTCCATTAAGCACCGATTTGGGCCAATTTATTTTCGGATGGCATTTTTGTAATTATTTGTGCTAGGAAAGGTCATTTCTTTCGATTTTGAAGGCTACAAATCAAAGATTCGTCCTAAGGCTATTCTTCAACGATGATTTAGTCCATTAAGCACCGATTTGGGTGGATTTGTTCTGGGTCAATTTTTCGCATATTCCAAAGGGGTACCATCACCGATTTTGGGCGATTTTTCTGAAATGCCATTTTCTTTCGATTCTGGAAGCTACAGATCACGGAATCACGTCGAGGCTATTCTCCACCGATAATGAAATCTATTGATCCTATTCTCCACGGATGATAAGTCCGTTAAACATCGATTTGGGCCAATTTATTTTCGAATGGCATTTTCGTTATTTTTAGGGCAAGGAAAGGCCTTTTTTTTTGGATTTTGAAGGCTACAGATCAATGATTCGGTCTGAGGATATTCTTCAACGATGATTAAGTCCATTAAGCATCGATTTGGGCGAATTTATTCCAGGTCAATTTTTCGCATATTCCAAAGGGGTACTATCACAGATTTCGGGCCATTTTCTGAAATGTCATTTTCATTCGATTCTGGAGGCTACAAATCACATAATCAGCCCGAGGCCATTCTCTACCTCTAATCAAGTCTATTGATCCTATTCTCCATGGATAATAAGTCCACCAAGCACCGATTTAGGCCAATTTATTTCCGGATAACATTTTCGTAATTTTTTGGTCGAGGAAAGCCCATATTCTTTGGATTTCGAAGGCTACAGATCACGGATTCGACCTTAGGCTATTCTTTAGCTATGATTAAGACTATTAAAAACCTATTTTGGCGGATTTATTCCGGGTCAATTTTTGGCAGATTCCAAAGGGGGTACAATCACAGATTTTAGGAGATTTTTCCGAAATGCTATTTTTTCGATTTTGAAGGTTACAAATTACGTAATCAGTCGAGGCTATTCTCCACCGATAATGAAGTCTATTGATCCTATTCTCTACGGATGATAAGTCCATTAAGCACCGATTTTGGCCAATTTATTTTCGGATGACATTTTCGTTATTTTTTGGGCTAGGAAATGACATTTTCTTTGAATTTTGAAGGCTACAGATAACGAATTTGGCCTGAGGCTACTCTTCAACAATGATTAAGTCCATTAAGCGCCGATTTGGGCGGATTTATTCCTGGTCAATATTTGGCAGATTTTGGGTGATTTTTCCGAAATGTAATTTTCTTTCGATTCCGGAGGCTACAGAGCACGGAATCAGGCTGAGGCTATTTGCCACCCTTAATGAAGTCTATTGATCCTATTCTGCACGGATGATAAGTCCATTAAGCACCGACTTGTGCCAATTCATTTTCAAATGGCATTTTCATAATTTTTTGGGCGAGGAAAGACCATTTTATTTGGATTTTGAAGGCTACAAATCAATGATTCAGCCTGATGCTATTCTTCAACGATGATTAAGTCCATTAAGCACCAATTTGGGCGGATTTATTCCGGGTCAATTTTTCGCATATTCCAAAGGGGGTACCATCACAGATTTTGGGCGATTTTTCTGAAAAGCCATTTTCTTTTGATTCTAGAAGCTTCAGATCACGGAATCACGCCGAGGCTATTCTCTACTTATAATCAAGTCTATTGATCCTATTCTCTACGGATGATAAGACCATCAAGCACCGATTTCGGCCAATTTATTTCCTGATGGCATTTTCGTAATTTTTTGGTCGAGGAAAGGCCATATTCTTTGGTTTTGAAGGCTACAGATGACGGATTCTGCCTTAGGCTATTCTTTAACAATGATTAAGACCGTTAAAAACCTAATTTGGCAGATGTATTCCGGGTCAATTTTTAGCAGATTCCAAACGGGTACCATCACAATTTTGGGCGATTTTTCCGAAATGTCGTTTTCTTTCGATTCTGGAGTATACAGACCATGAAATCAGGTCGAGGCTATTCTCCATCGATAATGAAGTCTATTGATCCTATTCTCCACGGATGATAAGTCCATTAAGCATCTATTTGGGCCAATTTATTTTCGGATGGTATTTTCGTTATTTTTTGGTCGAGGAAAGGCCAATTTCTTTGGTTTTTGAAGGCTGATCACAGATTCGACCTGATGCTATTCTACAACGATGAATAATTCCATTAAGCACCGATTTGTGCGGATTTATTTCGGGTCAATTTTAGGAGTATTCCAATGGGTTACCATCACGGATTTCGGGCGATTTTTCCGAAATGCAATTTTCTTTCGATTCTGGAGGCTACAGATCACGAAATTAGGTCGAGGCTATTCTCTACCGATAATGAAGTCTATTAATCATATTCTCCACAGATGATAAATTCATTAAGCACCAATTTGGGCCAATTTATTT